CACCCCGGTGACCCCAGCCCCTATGCCTGCCTTTGAGAAGCAAGGAGAGAAGGACAAGGAGGACAAGCAGACGTTTCAAGTCACAGATTGTCGAAGTTTGGTGAAAACCTTGGTCTGTGGTGTCAAGACAATCACGTGGGGCATCACGTCGTGTAAAGCGCCGGGTGGTAATTATGCTCTTGAATTATTTAGGCAAACAATGTTTTGCACAGAGTGGGTTTTATTTGCATTGACTTATTATACTATCTCTTTTCCAGAAGCTCAGTTCATTCCAAACAAGCAGTTACAGCCCAAAGAAACTCAGATTTACATAAAACTTGTGAAATACGCAATGCAGGCTTTAGATATTTATCAGGTAAGGAAGTGCCCTCAAACCTGTGTACTGAGTATGGAAATGACCCCTTAGAATTAGAGATGTTAGTGATGGAATAGGCCTTGAGAGATCTATTAGTTTTGGATGGTCTACAGTATTTGTATTCCCAAGTTTGCTTTTGTTCTGTAGCATAGCATTGCATTTATGGTGAGAGTTCTTTTAAGTGTCAATGGGTGTATTTTTGGGGGAGGTAGTGTAAATGGAATGTAATAGGAATAAGATTTAGGTTTACTAAATTTGTTCCTTTTTGGAACACTTAACAAAATTTTTTTTTTTTAAAATTATTTTCTGACCCTGGCCGATGGCTGAGTGTATGCATTGTCCTGTACACCAAAAAAGGCTGTGGGTTCAGTTCCTGCTCAGGGCACATACCTAGGTTGCCAGTTTGATCCCCAGTTGGGGCACTCGCGGGAGGTGATCTATAGATGCTTCTCTCTCACATCGATGTTTCTGTCTCTCTCTCCCTCTCCCCGCTCCCTCCTCTCTCCCTTCCTTTCTCTCTAAAAATCAATAAAAACATATCCTTGGGTGAGGGTTAAAAAAATCATTTTCTAAAATTTAGCTAAGAATAGAGAATTTGAAAGATTTCAAGGAGGCGTTTATCTAATTCAAGTGCTCTGTTTTAAGTATGCAGCTGATCTGATCAGGTGATGGAATATATTCAGAGATGTTTGGTTTTAATGCCCGTGGTTTGTTTTTTTCCCTGTGCTAGGTCCAGATAGCGGGAAATGGACAAACATACATTCGAGTAGCAAACTGCCAAACTGTTAGAATGAAGGAAGAGAAGGAAGTATTGGAACACTTTGCTGGTGTGTTCACAATGATGAATCCCTTAACATTTAAAGAAATCTTTCAAACTACAGTTCCTTATATGGTGGAAAGAATCTCAAAGAATTATGCTCTTCAGGTAGAAAACTCCTTTCTTGTATTCTTTCAACATTATAAAATTATTTGGTTTTGTGTTGAATTCTTGGTGTTCTGTTTATTTTGAAGATTTTCTAAATACTATGTGTAAGAATGTGCTTTCAGAGCAAAATTTAGAGAAATATTAAAATTTTAGTAGAAATTCAGTATGCGTTAGGAGTAGGCTCTCGGCATTTGATGGCAAGAATAGAATACCAGTTTAAGTACTTGAACCGAACTCTTTTTCCACTCAAGGCTCAGTAAGTCTATTTCATTTTTTCCTTTTGGTGAATAATTTCTTGGAGTGTCTGACAGATTTGATTTTGTATTTTTGGAGTTTATTTCTCCTAAAGCTGCTTTGGGGAAGGGATTATTTTTTGTTATATTCTTTTCTTGTTTGGACAGATTGTTGCCAATTCCTTCTTGGCAAATCCTACTACCTCTGCTCTGTTTGCTACAATTCTGGTGGAATATCTCCTTGATCGCCTGCCAGAAATGGGCTCCAACGTGGAGCTCTCCAACCTGTACCTCAAGCTGTTTAAGTTGGTCTTTGGTTCAGTCTCCCTCTTTGCAGCTGAAAATGAACAAATGCTAAAGGTAAAGCTTATTTAGATCCAAGCAGTACTTTGTTTTAGGGTTGGTTGTTTAATTCTTGTTTTCACTTTTGAACAAAAACTGGAATGGTTCTTTTTATATTTGTAAAGTCCTCTTTGAAATAAAATATTTGCAACAAATAAGGGTGAGGTGTGAGAAACATTTCATGTATTTCTAAGCAGAGTTTAATTCATCTGGTGATTTAAAATGAAAACTCCAAAGCTCCTGTGGTAGGCAGTGGGTTGTCATTAGTATTGCTACCGCACATTTTCTTTTTTAAATTCAATTTCTTTTTCTGGATTACACAAGTAAAATTAGAAGCACATCGACCTCATTTTAAATATTAAGTGATACGCAAGAATATAGAAGGAAAAAATTGTCTTCATCTACCTCTCAAATCTGATGAGATATGTTAGCCGTTTTCCATTTTAACTTTGTTTCTTGTGTGTGCATATTCTCTGTGGCAGTACGTAAACATCCCTGAAAGGAATGCTTAAGTCAGTAATTCTGACTATTTTGTGTTCCTTCATAAGATGATTTTGGAGGAGTGTGTCTCCAACATTTTCATTGATGGCTAATCCTGTATAATTTGATCTCATCAGTTGTTCGAACCTAGAAAATGGGTAAAAACCTACTCATGTCACCCTTTAAAATTGGCAGATGGCAGAACAGAAACCTTGTAAACATTCCCTTCCATTTAGGGCAAAATTTTGATTCTATAGAAAGTCGAATATTACCACCAGTTGAGTCTGAAGAGAGATGTTTCACATGGGGAAAATTTGAACCTGTAGACAAGATCCATTTTTTTCTAGAGTAAAAGTATAGATAGTGATAAAAAGCAACAGTAGTCTGTGCTTTTATGTGGTGGTTGTCTTAGTCTTTTTCAGTTACATAGTAACCTCTTAACAACCTTAACATTATTTTTTGTGTGTCAGTATGAAAGAAAAATACTTGATTAAAAAAAAAAAATAATTGTAATGTGTCCAAATAACTTGGTATCTTCAAATAATTCAGCTTGTGCCGACATTAGGTACAACTGTACAGAACGACAACAGAAACAAGCTGATGGGAAGATGTTCGAGAAAAATAGAGAACAAATTCATGGAACTTTCAGTCTAGAGAACGTATATGTAGTTGACTTACTCTGTAAAATAAATAGGTCATGCCATGTACAGTAAAAAGCTTGGAACCGTGTCAGTGACTGTACCAACAGTTTATAGTTCATGGTTCACTTTAAATACACCTGCAGAAAAAGTGTCATGTTAAATTTAATCTGTCACATGTCAAAACTAGGATTTAAAGTACAAGATAAAAACCTAGTTTGGCTTAAAATGTTAATTAAAGTTACTATAAGCTCATAAAGTACTTTTTTTATTAAAGAAATACCCATTTTTCAATCAAGTCTTCCAAAACCTTATCTTAAATGTCTTTTGAGGCTCTTCCAAACTTTACATGCTTGATAGGAAAGTTTAGTTCCTTTATGTTACTTGTTGCGTTTAGATTGTTATAGGAAACGGACGTCTTTCATCTTGTTTGATGATTTAGTCTCACACAAGAGTGACAGTATTCATAAGAACTGCAGAAGTGACAGGAACCTATTAAATGTTTCTTTCACACCCAAACTTGTGGAAACCAACATATATTTTAAGAGAACAACAATTTGCCTCAGTTAATTTGAGTCAAATAAAAGTTGGAAAGTTCTAGTTTTGTTTTTCCTTTTGGAATAAGTTTATAAGAATTACCTTCCATTCCTGTGTGACTGCAGTGAATATTTAGCACACTGCGTGAGGGTGTGGACCCTCCGCACGTGGAGCCCACTAACCTGCCTTTTCTCTGCCCTGCAGCCCCACCTGCACAAGATTGTGAACAGCTCCATGGAGCTCGCACAGACTGCCAAAGAGCCCTATAACTACTTCCTGCTGCTTCGGGCCCTGTTCCGCTCTATTGGGGGTGGTAGCCATGATCTCCTGTATCAGGAATTTTTGCCTCTCCTTCCAAACCTCTTGCAAGGTCAGAGCAATGATTTTGGTTACCTTTTAGCCTCGTGTGTGTACCTGAGTCTGGCTGCCCTTGGTTGTTGGTGTTCATCCTCTGTATCCATTGAAAGTCATGGTGAGGGGATATATGTGCATGTCCCCCACAGAGAGAGAAAGCTCCCCCCCCCAGTCCCTATGTTCCACTCTCTTTAAAGTCTGTGGGACTTTGAAAGGACCCCCTCATTCAGTTCTGGGCTTTTCCTCTATAGTCAGAGTTGAATGGGAGTTGGGAGGTTTTAGTTTCCTCATTTAGGACTTGGTTGTGCTTTTATAGCATTTGGTAAGCGAGTCTGGAAAGAAAGTTGTTTGTAGTGGTTTTGTAAGATCAGAAATCTCTAGATTTGAGAGAGAATCAGAACAAGAAGGGAAAAAGCAAGTTATAAAGCTGATTTGTAAGTTTATGTTTTTATTCAGTTGCTAATTTGCACAACCAGAATTCTATAATTTCTGTGTAATTAGGAATGCTTTTAAGATATAGAGCTAAAGGGGATCGATCTTGAGTCCATTCAGTGTTTATGGGTGTGAACTGATTAGAAATACTATCTTAGGAATTTGTAGTTTTGTTGTTTTAAAATTATCTATTTATTTGAGAGAGGGAGAGAGACAGACATCGATTTGTTGTTCCACTCATTTATGCATTGTCGGTTGATTCTTGTGTGTGCCCTGACTGGGAATTGAACCCACAACCTTGGCATATTGGGACAACGCTCTAACCAACTGAGCTACTTGGCCAGGGTGGAATTTGTGTTTTTGTAAGGCTGAGCTCCTGGCATCTTGGCAAGGGATTAAATCTTCTGTATTTTCTTTGCAAATTCTTTAAAGAGAAGCCGTTTACAACATAGTATATCCAGAAGACAACTGGGAAATACGTATTTGGATATTGAATGTAACATGGTTGTAAGTTCACCAGGCAAGGTGCTTACCGTAATCAGGCTCCATTATTCATATTTAACCCCATCTTTCGGCAATTCTCAACCTGAGTCCTCTGCTCCCCTCAGTCTGATTTCTTCCTGCACACTCTGTGCTGTCCCCAAGCTCATCTCTCCCTACCCAGCTTTGTTCAAGCAGATGCTCTCCTGGAGATTTAGCCTTTCCTCCTTTTCATCCTGCTCCTCCTCCCTTAGGATGCCTTCCCCGTCAGCTCCTCTCTGGGCTCCGCTCAACCTACAGTACTTGGGGTGCACCTTGTGTTGGGTCTGCTGTCCCATGCTTTCCTCTTTCTAGCTTGCCTCTAAGCGCTCTGAACCAGTCTTGACCTGACTTGTGTCAGTTAGGAAGGAGCTCGGTAAATACTTGGTTATCCTCACGAAGAGTGGGGAGCTTGGCTTTATAAGAAGGAGGCTCCTCTCTATAAAAAAACAAAGTGACCTGGCCTGTGTGGTTTAGTGGTTGAGCCTTGAACCAGGAGGTTGCAGTTCGATTCCCAGTCAGGGCACATATCCAGCTTTCAGGCTCTATCCCCAGAGAGGGGTGTGCAGGAGGCAGCTGATCAGTGACTCTCATCATTGATGTTTCTGTCTCTCTCCCCCCTCCCTTCCTCTCTCTGAAATCAGTAAAAACATATTTAAGCCTGACCAGTGTGGCTCAGTGGTTGAGCAGTGACTTATGATCCAGGTGATTGGGGTTCGATTCCCAGTCAGGGCACATGCCTGGGTTTCGGGCTCATCCCCAGTAGGGGGCGTGCAGGAGGCAGCCGATCAATCACTCTCTTATCATTGACGTTTCTATCTCTCTCTCTCCCTCTCCTTTCCTCTCTCTGCAATCAATAAAGACATATTAAAAAAAAGTATTTAAAAAAGAGTTTAAAACCAACCAATAAAAAAACCAAAAGTGACTGTTTGGAAAAATATTTATATTTTAGAGCATAAACATCAACTGGTCTACTGGAAACTTGAAAGATGATGTAAAATTGTTAACCTCAAACTTGAGATAAATGTCTCATATCATAAGTCTGTGTCTTTAGATTGGACTTACTAATAGTGTAACATTATTAAAAGGTTGATGTATAATATTAGCTATATTACAAGAGCATAATATTATAACTATAACTTAATATATAATAATTATATGCAGTCTGCTGTTGTCACTATGACTAGCACAGACAAAGGGGATCATGGATGCAGTTATAGAATAGGTTTAGCTAGTTAATATAGTAGCTTATAAAGCGTAAAAAACTCTTCCTATCATCACGTTGATGTATATAGTAAAAGGTGTACCAGTTATTTTGTACAGTTAACTTTGGCCAGTGTTCGGAAGGTAACTTCTGTCTCTGACTGCCTCACACCCTGTTGTTAGGGCTGAACATGTTGCAGAGCGGCCTGCATAAGCAGCACATGAAGGATCTCTTCGTGGAGCTGTGTCTCACCGTGCCCGTGCGGCTGAGCTCTCTCTTGCCGTATCTGCCCATGTTAATGGATCCCTTGGTGTCTGCCCTCAATGGCTCTCAGACGTTGGTCAGCCAAGGCCTGCGGACTCTGGAGTTGTGTGTGGACAACCTGCAGCCCGATTTCCTGTATGACCACATTCAGCCAGTACGAGCAGAGCTCATGCAGGTAAGTCCGGTTCTCCTAAGCACCAGCAGAGGGCGTTAGGTGCTCATGTATCTCGTTCTTAACAGGATTTTAGGCAAGTGGTTTCCGGCAGTGCCGGGCCACCGTTGAGCTCTCCGTGCTCAGGGGTGGACTGTCTGGAGGATGCAGTGGTGAAGCTTTCAACTTACTTTTTGCATCTTCTGGCTTATGAAAAGATGTAAAGAAATACTGTCAGTATTGCGTGAATATTTGTTTCTCAGTACTGCCCCCGTTTTTGGAGGCTTTACAGGTGTTATTTTCTCATTTAGTTGATGACTTACAAAGGCAGGGGTTATGGCCACGGTTGCTTCCAGGAGATCCTTTCTTTGTTCATAAAAGGTCTTGAGCTACGCAGTAAAGAGATGCAGATTCCTAAGGGAAGGCATAGCTGTCTGCAAATATTTTTATATGTAGATATTTTTTAAACACTTAAAAAAATTTTTTTTTAGAGAGAGGAAGAAAGGGAGAGAGAGAGAGAAACAGAAACGTCAATCAGTTGCCTCATGCACATGCCCTGACTGGGATCAAACCTGCAACCTGGGTATGTGCCCTGACCAGGAATCGAACCTTGCAAACGTTTGGTGTATGGAACAACACTCCAGCCAACTGAGCCACAACGCCAGGCAGCACTGTATAACTTTTGTTCATTAGAATTCATATGTCATATCAGGTTTTTCCATTTTGTTTTGTTGCTGTTATTGACTTGTAATGCGGTTGGTAATTGTTAGAGGTTTAGGCTCCCTGTTAATCATGTGGGCCCCATTAGCATACAGTATCTGACCCCAAGCTGGGATCAGAGTTCTGACAGCTTTATATGATGGGGACTCAGTAACTCCTAAAGGACAGAAATCTTTGGACAGAGTAGATTAGAGATGGCAACTTGGAAGAATTGACCCAGGTGTGGGTGAGCACCGTGTGAGAGGAGGAGGCAGGGAGGGGTTCTCTGGCCTCTTGCAGTTCTCTGAGGCAGACAGCTCTAGGGAGAGACAGGGTCCAGTCTGCTTTTGGAGGCACAGTAACCCACCCACTAGACAGGTGGGATAAGCCGCCTCACTTTAGCCCCATCAACCAGCTAAGTCTACATGAGCATCGGGAGATCAGAAGCTCTCGTTCCCACTGCCTGCGCCTCCTGGGGAGTCAAGCAGAGGTCACTTCAGAAGATATGTGAGGATTGGGTGGGCCAGGTAGAGGGGTTAAAGGTGAGGGGACTTAGACAACACTTCTTAGCAATCATTAAGGCGAAGCCTCTTTGGACCTACAGGAACATAAGAGAAACTGGAATTTTGCTCTAGAGGAAAGTACCCAGATTTTCTGTTGATTATTGCTGGACACTAATGTTGGGCATTGCTTCAGAAGGTGATTTAAGACATAGACTTTAATAATGAGCTTTTGTAATTTTCAATACAATAATTTAGCTGGGAAAATTGACAGTTTTTTGAAGCAGTTGAGTGTGTGTATTTCATTTACTAATTGTAAGTACAAGGTACATGTTATCTATTCCTATAATGGCAGGTCCTAGCAGGATCCACAATTCCTCCCTTTGCCATCCTTCCTAATGTGGGGTTTGAAATGTATGAGATAATTTATATATCATGTTTTGAAGTTATAAAACCTAATAATAGAAATAAAAACCTGAGAACTTACCATCTAACCCCAGGATGAGAATTTACCAGTAAATCGCATTTCCCCCTGTGCTCCTCCCAATCCCATTTTGTAAAGATGCCTAAACTACGTATTGCTTAGTTTTCTTGCTTTTGAGCTCTGCAGTATTTACTGTATGCTACTGCTTGTGTTTCGGGAGCATGGAAGAATGTTTATATTTACATACATGATTTTGTAAAGACGAACATTCTCTGGGAGAATACACAAGATCAATAGCCGTGTTTCCCCCAAGAAGGGGAATGTGTGTGGGGGAAAGAGGTGTAAGGAAGACATTTTGCTGTAGAGTCTTTTATAACTTCTGGATTTTGATTTGTGAACCATGTGAATGCCTTACCTTGAAAGGATTTTAATGAAAGCATGTTGATTTCTAGGCTTTATGGCGCACTCTACGCAATCCTGCTGATAGCATTTCTCACGTGGCCTATCGTGTACTTGGTAAATTTGGTGGCAGTAACAGGAAGATGTTAAAGGAATCCCAGAAGCTGCACTATGTTTTGACTGAAGTTCAAGGCCCCAGTATTACAGTGGAGTTTTCCGATTGTAAAGCATCTCTTCAGCTCCCAATGGAGAAGGTAAATTTGGAGGTCTCTGGGAGCTGCTTAAAGATACTATAAGTTTCATTTTAAGAATTTCTATTTGAAAATATGTGAATAAAACATGTCCTTTTTTGGGAGGGAATTTCTAACTCAAAGTAGAATGAGATTTATTTGGAGACCACCTTGGTAGGTGAGGGAGCTTTCGTACCACTGGGAGGGGTGTTGCCCCTGAGGCTTTGGACCCTTGAGCAGTTCCATCTTTCCTGAGGGACCAGAAGGTGACACCCTGCCTACCTGGCCCTGGAACTTAGTCTGTTTTGATGCCTAATGGGCTTTACCTCAAATGTCATTTAGAACCCATGCTAATTGCAATCTTGTCTCTCATCCCGGTCACTCCAGAGCACCTAGTTTTCTCCTATCCTCTATCCAAACAGCTCCTGCTGTCTTTCCTGGCTCCTTAGTCAATTGTGAGCAGCTCTCTGGTTTCTCTCTACGTACCCTCTAGAACACTTTTCATTGCATAAAAAATGAACAAACCGTGTCCCCAATGTCTTGCAGAGTGCTCCATTGAGCTACTTTGGCTTTATCCTCGTTGAAGACTGTTCCCCCTTCACCTCATTGAGCCTCCTAGTCCTTTGTTACACACATTTTATTCTATTTAATTGTAATCTACATTGTTGCATTTGAATTTTCCTCTTTATTGTATGACCAGCCTTTTTTCCACCTTGCATTATATATAGACTTTGTGGCTATGTCTTTTCATAACTTTTTTAAAAAAAATATATCTTTATTGATTTCAGCAAGAGGAAGGGAGAGGGGAGAGAAAGAAATATCAATGACGAGAGAGTCATTGATCGGCTGCCTCCTGCACGCCCCCTGCTGGGGATCAAGCCCACAACCCAGGCATGTGTCCTGACCGGGAATCGAACCACGATCTCCTGGATCCTAGGCCGATGCTCAACTGCTGATCCACGCCCGGCCAGGCTCTATTCATAACATTTATCTAGCTCTCATATATTGAGTATTTTAAAAAGTGCATTAGAGTAGACTTTTATGTATATTTGAGCAACTCAGCCATTTCATTAAGCCCATGTCAGCTGGGATTCCTGAGCTCCTTGCAAATCTGGCCTTAAACCATCGTTTGATGGCCCTGGATAACTCAAAGCCTTCCCTTCGCTTAGGCTAACTCTGATCTATCCAGTTGCTTCATATTGTACAACTTGGCATGGTTACCTGTCTAGAAAAGAATTCACCCACATTTTTTTTTTTTTTTGGTTAAATTTATCAGGATGACATTGGTTAATCATATTATAGAAATTTCAGGTGTGCAACTTTACAATATGACCTCTGTAAACTCTATTGTGTGCTCACAACCCGAAGTCTAATCTTTCATCACCGTATACTTGACCCCTTTACCCTTTCGGTTCTTCCCCCACTTCCTCCCCCGCTGGTAACCAGCATTCTGTTGTCTGTATCCATGGGGTTTTTTGTTTGTTTTGTTTGTTTGTTGCTTTTTGTTTTCTGTCCCATGTATGAGTGAAATCATGTCCTTTTGTATTTTGACTTATTTTACTTAGCTTAATACTCTCAAGATCCATCTATGTTGTTGCAAATTGTAGTATTTCACCAGCTAGGATGGGAGAAACCAGGTATTGAGGATAGGCTTCCACAGTCTTCCTGGACCATGTGGAAACTTCATGGTGCTTGTGGAGCTCCTTTCCCAGCAGGCAGCATCCTCAGCTGTGGCACACCTCAGTGAGCTGAAGGAGTCGACTAGGCAATGGGAATGAGCAACGAGGCCAAGCCCAGTGCCAGTGAATTTCCATTAAAACAATCCTGCTTTTGGCATACTTTACAGTCCTTTATGTTTTTTGGTGGGTAATTGGCTTATAGCTTACGTTGATTCTTAAAAATAAGATTTCTAAAATTGTTCTCACATGATTTATTACCTATTAATGACCAGATTAGAGGCAGTAGGAGAAAGGAGAGTTCTGCAGTGCCCCAGGAGACTCAGATGCACCGCTGGGTGGTGTGTGGCCATGTGTGCTTTGGCGCCTGGCTCGGTCTGGAGGGCAGGGCTCCGTCCCTGTCGGCTCCTTCTCTGGCTCCTCACACAGAGCCTGGATAAATCTGTACTCTTTGCTGTAGATTAGTTCTTTGATATATATGTACATAATTATCATTAAGTTGTTATCTTGGCTGTTAAAGGTCTCCTATTATTTTTGTGTGTGATTGTGCCTCCCCTGCCATCCTGGTCAAATTTGTTGAAACGGAAAGGTTGAAGGTGAGTGAGTGCAGCTATACAGGGTTCTTCTTTTTTAAAAATAGACTTCAGTTTTTAGAGCAGTTTTAGCTTCAGAGCAAAATTGAGCAGAAAGTTCATTGTTCACATATCCCCCCCTCCAGCACAACTTCCTATTATTTAATTTTTAACAATGCCCATGTTTAACCATAGGGCCACACATGTCAATGTAAGAAACAGTGAAACCTTTAAAAGAAGTTTTGTGAGTTTATTTGAGCCAAATTGTCAACAATTGCTGGGAAGCAAAATCTCAACACATTGAGAAAAAATGCTCCCACTTTTTTTTCTTTTAAAGATGAATTTAGTGAAAGCTTAGGAAAGTTGTCTTTTAATTTTGAACTTAGACACTGGAAAGTCTGTGGTCTGCACAAAGTTCCTTATTTTCTTGAGGACCTTGATAAATGTGTAGATGACTCGGTATCTAGTTTAATCCAACAAACCCACCACAAGGGCTCTTCTGAGCTCACTTAATTTTTGGAACCTCCCATTGGCTGTTCAAGCACAAAATTAGTAAACTTCATTTTACATTTTAATTTGAATGGTGCAGATCCTTATTCATGGTACTTCCATTGCCTTCTCCGGAGCTTTTACTTGGTGAGTACCTGCTACCCTGTGTAGGCCCACTGTGCTCACTTCGAGGGAAAATATGCATTAAGATTCCTTTGGGTGTTGCAAATACTTTCAGTGAAAGCCTTTCAAAGTCATGTAATTCATGACTATAGTTGTTGTGTTTCTTTGTCGTTGTAGGCCATTGAAACTGCTCTGGACTGCCTGAAAAGTGCCAACACTGAGCCCTACTACCGGAGGCAGGCGTGGGAGGTGATCAAGTGCTTCCTGGTGGCAATGATGAGCCTAGAGGACAATAAACATGCTCTCTACCAGCTCCTTGCACATCCTAAGTATGTTGGTGATTTAATTCTCTGCAATTGGGTATCTCTTGCCTTAGGAATGAGGGATGGAGAAGACCACCAAGATTTCTCAGTGTTATGAGCATGTTCCTTCTAGTTAGGAAACCATGTTATTTGCCTAGTAATGCTTCTGTTGGCTTTTAGAGAAAATAGGACAACTTGGGTGCTTGAGTATTAGAATTTACCTCAGTTGTCGCCTGTCTTTACGATTGCTTCCTCATGGAAGTTTCAAGAACCAAGGGTCATACTCCGTCCTCTCCTCTCTGCTCACCATTATAGTCACAGTGCCTGTCATGTGATGCGTACTCAGTGGGTCTTTTGCTTTTCCAGTCCATAGCAATATTTTCCTTCTCCAAGCACTTGTCATGTGATATTTGTATTTTGCTCCTATAATTTAGGTTGCGGTCAGTGGTTGCCCTGGGGGTGGGAGAGGGATTGACTTTTCGGGGTGACATGTTTTAAAATTGGATAGTGGATGGTTGTACAACTGTAGGGATTTAAAACTCATTGACCCATATAATTAAATGAATTCTGCAGTATATAAATTATACTTCATGAAAGTTGCTAAAAATCATAATAGAAAAGAACAAATGTCAAATTGAGCTAAATACTTGTTTTAAAAATGAGAAAAAGTATGACAAAGTAAACAAAATAGAAAAGGATGAGAAGAAATGAGCAAGAGACGAAAACACGGTAGACAGGTTCCGTAAATGCAGAGGCCGATTCCTGCTGGGTAAAGAGAGCAAAGTTTCCTTCCTTCCTAAGCATGAAGGAGAGGGGCACAGGTAGCCAGTGTCAGAAGTAAAAAGCCCGTGGCATTCCAGAAGGTTTTGATATTAAGCAGTTAGGAGCAACCACTTTGCTTGATAAAATTTTAAATTTCAACAAAATAGATGAATTTGTAGAAAAAAAGTTAATTGGCCTTTAAAAATCTTTAATGACATTGACGCTTTTGGAAAATACAGACCAGTTACTTTATAGAATATCTCCAGTGTGGGCTTGTCTGTGTCGTCACGATTCGATTCAGACTGTGCATGTCTGCTGGAAGGCCCTCCCCAGAAACGTTCTTCCCACGGCCCCCTCGGGCTGGTTGATGTTGGCTTCTCCCACTGGTGAGAGTGTCGTCAGCCCTGTCTCCACTGTCAGGCTGTTATTTGTACGACTTGTAGTTCATAAGTAATTAGTGGGAGATAGTTTGAGACAATGTAAATATCCTGTCTGTCTTCAGTTTTATCTGCTGTTTATAATTAGTTTATTGATGGTGCTTTCCTGATTGAAGTATTGGTATGATTAAAAAATGGTGGCTCTCTTTCTTTTTAACAACTTCATTGAGGTATACTTTATATATCCAAAATTCATCGACTTCAAGTGTTTCAATGTAATGACCTTTAATAGAGTGTTGCAAATATATCTCAGATTTAGAACATTTTCGTAACCCCAGTAAGATCCCTCCATGCCCATTTAGAGTTAAGCCCCATTCCCAGCCCCAGACAACCATTAGTCTAGTTCCTGTCTCCCTAAATCTGCCCTTTCTGGACACCATACAGATGGAACCATACAGTATTGTGATGGTGGATTTAATTTTGTCTTCCAGTTTTACAGAAAAGACCATACCTAATGTCATCATATCACATCGCTACAAAGCACAAGACACTCCAGCTCGGAAGACATTTGAGCAGGCTCTGACCGGGGCATTCATGTCTGCTGTCATTAAAGATCTTCGGCCCAGCGCCCTGCCCTTTGTGGCCAGCCTGATCCGCCACTACACAATGGTGGCAGTTGCCCAGCAGTGTGGTGAGTGGGGCAGAGGAACTGGTTATTTGACTTCATTAGGTCAAAAACTTGGTCAGGACATGGTGGTGTTTCAGAGAAGCTGAGTTTGGCTGATTTTTGGCCTTTGTTTTCTAATTTTCCACTTACTTACATTGAAAAAGATCATTGGCATTTCAGCAATGGAGGCTGTATTAATGTGAAAATTTTTTCCAAGGATTAGCTATAAAATACACTCAATATTTTGGCCCTTTGTTTTTTATGAAAAATGGGGGATGAGTAGTCTTAGATGCGTGAAACAGCATTGCTGATCTTCCTCCATGGCATTTTCCAGCGCCACCTCTCTTCAGCCAGCTCCTTGGTTTCCCTTGCAGTGCTCATCTCTGCTCCTGCCTTTTCTCTTGCCTGGACTGGCTGCTTGCTTGTGCTGCAGGGGTTCTCAGGCTCTGGGTGTGAAGGACCGATTTTGTTTCCTTGGTTTTATTTTTAAGCCATTGCAGACTGGTGCTTTGGTAAAAGACAGTAAGACTGTCACGGCACTGCCTAGTGCTATGTAAGTTTCCGAACACTTACTCCCAATTTTTGTAACTTCCCAGACCAGTGGACACACTTGAGTAGCACTGCTCTAGTTTGTAGCCTCAGAGCCCCTCACCCTGGGGAACGATGAGTGGCTTTCTCTCAGCACTGCAGAACATGTAGAACTTTCCTCCTGTCAACTCTTCTTGGCCTGAACAGTTACTACTATATAATTTAGCACTTCGATTGTTTCTCAGTGTTTCCTCTGCTTTCCAGCAGACCTGTAAGCTTCTTATTAATTCCCAGCTTTCTGGTACTGGGTACCTGTGAGGCATTAATTAATAGTAGCTGGCAGATTGTTCTCTGCATGTGCGTTGGGTGTCATAGCTGGATGCGATTGCTTTTGATTGTTATTTGTATGTCAGGAATGTCCAGAGGGTCTCCCATAGTCATTCCCATGCTCTGCTCCTTGGCCTGTTTAATGACTTTTTAAAAAGAAGGCACCGGATTGTGTTTCTCATTTTAAATTAGTACATTTTTGAGTTATGATTGAGAAAATCTGAAAATAATACAGTGTATAATGGAAAACATTTAGAAAAATTACTTTAGTGCGAATCAGATTCCTTAGTTTATAAATAATTGCAGTTTAACAGAAGTTGGTCTAAAGTATTGAGTTCCTAACCACAAAGAAAAGAATGAGGTACTTGTGCAGCTCGAGGGACAAGAATGTTGGTGTGGGTACGCTCTCCTCTCTCATGCTCCCTGTGCTCTCCAGGTCCTTTCTTGCTGCCTTGCTACCAGGTGGGCAGCCAGCCCAGCACAGCCATGTTTCACAGTGAGGAAAACGGGTCGAAAGGAATGGATCCCTTGGTTCTCATTGACGCCATAGCTATTTGTATGGCATATGAAGAAAAGGAACTTTGCAAGATCGGGGAGGTGGCTCTTGCTGTGATATTTGATGTTGCAAGTATCATCCTGGGCTCAAAGGAGAGGGTAAGGATGGATTGAGGACTGTCTTTTATTTGGGGGGTGTTTGTGCCTGAGGGTAGTCAGTCATTCTAGAAACTGCTAGTTTAAGAACTGCAGTAACACATTAAGGTTTGTGTGTGTTTTTCTCTCCAGGCATGCCAGCTGCCTCTGTTTTCTTACATTGTGGAACGCTTGTGTGCGTGTTGTTATGAGCAGGCCTGGTATGCAAAGCTGGGGGGTGTGGTGTCCATTAAATTTCTCATGGAGCGGCTGCCTCTTACTTGGGTTCTCCAGAACCAGCAGACATTCCTCAAAGCGCTTCTCTTTGTCATGATGGACTTAACTGGAGAGGTAAGTGATGGGTGGCTCCAAACCTAACCAAGCTGTCTCAAGAAGCTGATTTGCCTGGAGAATAGTTAGCATGAGTCAGTTCTGCAAATTTGCTCTTCTAAAAAGCTTAGGTTTCATAACATTATCTTTAATAAAAAGGACATGTCAGAACACCTCTAAGCTTTCTCTGGTTATCACATACCTATCTGCCCTCATAAGGAACAGTCAGAAGCCAGAGTACTTACCACAGTACATCTGTGGCCTGTGAAGGAAGCACTATCCCCAGTCTTGCCCTGGGACTCAATAGTGCACATGCTCCAAACGTTTCTACAGAAGCTGCGTTCTTTATGGACCTATATGCAGATGTCACTCAAACAGCTTATCTGGTAAATATAAAGATCACGGCTGCATCCACATTTTCTTTTCTGAATGACAAACAGGAATTATCTGTAAGGTGATTTAGCTACTAAGTACCTAATGAAGATTATGAAGTAGTCTTATTAAATTAGCTGGCACGAGGGGCGTGAACCCCCCTAGAGACAGTGTTTATGGCAGGCAGGTTGGACAGGAGATGTGGGTGCCCTGGGCAGCAGCATTTCCTTTTTGATCTGAGGAGTCCCTGGCCTGCAGGTTTCCAATGGCGCAGTTGCCATGGCCAAAACCACCCTGGAGCAGCTTCTGATGAGGTGTGCGACACCTTTAAAAGACGAGGAGAGAGCAGAAGAGATTGTGGCAGCTCAGGAAAAGTCTTTTCACCATGTAACACATGACTTGGTTCGAGAAGTCACCTCTCCAAATTCCACTGTGAGAAAACAGGCTATGCATTCACTGCAAGTTTTGGCCCAGGTTACCGGGAAAAGTGTGACGGTGATAATGGAACCCCATAAAGAGGTGAGATTTCTATGACCGGAACTAGGGTAACTTGAGCAAAACTTTTGAGACTCTCTCCCCTTCAAATCTGAGATGTAGAGGATACATAACTTATAATTTTTTGTTGGTAATTGACAGTGTCAAGAGAATAGAAGGCTGGTTTCCTGGGTCAGTAGAGCACAATCTGGTAGTTTTGTTTTTGTTTTAAGAGAGGTTACTCTGAAGCCTCATGAAACGTATCCTCTGTCACCTTACTAAAAGACGTCTGTAATAACCGTTCATCTCATGGTTTTCAAATTGGTAATTGTTTTAGAATATTGTGATGAGAAGTATTTGCTTTTTGAGGGGCAGGTGGTTAGTCGTGCTTCCTCCTTGCCTGTCCTAGGTGCTCCAGGATATGGTCCCACCTAAGAAGCATTTGCTCAGACACCAGCCTGCCAATGCCCAGATTGGCCTGATGGAGGGGAACACGTTCTGTACCACATTGCAGCCCAGGCTCTTCACAATGGATCTTAACGTGGTGGAGCATAAGGTGTTCTACACAGAGGTAGGGGGGTGGTGGTACGCGTGGTGTGGATGGTGATGACTGTGTCTGGTAACCTGTCTTTGTGCATGAAGACTGGTCAGGCAGCATTCAGAGAAGGCCTGGGAGGTGACCACAGGCAACCAGCAATAGCCTGGCACAGCGCTCTGCACAGGTGTGTTACATATGGGATTGGGGTGAAGTTGGGCATGGTGACTGCAGATGTTCAACAAAATGTGAGTGTCTCCTGCGTTCTTTGAACTCCGTTAGCTCTCTAAGGGAAGCTTGCTCTTCAGGGCCTTCAGGCTATTATCTAGAGCTAAGACTGTACCATCTACTTTAGTCGCTGTCCCATCCGCTGGTGCCCAGAATAAGACGACACAGAGCAAGTGCCAGCCTACTGAGTTTATTAATCACTTAAATGTGCCATGCACTGTTGAGAACATGAATGTGCTCTGTAGCTCTGACCTCTTACAGATGCAGAAACTGAGCTTGAAAGTTTGTTCTACACGTAAGTCCACAGCAGAGAAGCTATAGATCTTAGGTGGGAACCATGACTGTTATTTTAGGGCATGGGCCCTAATCACTGCCCTGTCCTGTTGGGTTCTCATGTTGTTTAGTGGACTTGCCACTTTGACTCAAGATAATGGGCAGAGGCAGATGACATCTGACAAGTAATTGTCACTGTAAACTTTCTAGTGTGTGGTGATATTAGTAATAAACAGAAATTAAACTTTAGATAGTCAAATTATAAGCATTAATTCTTAGAATATAGTAGTAGTCTGGTGACCAGTCCCAATTTGAAGTTTTTTAAGACATGACTCATAGTCCCACAGGCATTGTCAGAGTAAACTGAGGTAAAAGTCCTAAGGAAGCAAATTCGTCATGATGCACACTTAGTCTGAATTTCCAATTATGAAAACTTACCTCTTGATTTTTTTAAGTCCTGTGTGTGTTTGCTTGGACATAGGGTCATTTGATCATGTGGTCTAGCTTTGATCTTTCATACCTTATATAAAGGTATAAAGAGTCATTGCTCATAAAACTTGACTGAGGGTCCAGCAGAACCACCAGAAAGTGGGAGGACAGCTTCTCTGTGATTCTAGAGGCAGATGCATTTTAACCTGCATGGAAAATTCCTCACTAAGTTTCAGAGCAGAACCTGGTGGTGTTGAATGATGAATCTTGGGGAATGAAACTGGTTTTCTAAGTGTATATCAGTGTGCTTGCTGCAACAAAACATGAGGATCTTTTGAAAAATAGAGACTCTTGAGTCTTCTCTCCAGTGATTCAGGTTCAGTAGATTTGGGGTCAGACCTGGGAATCTATCTTCTTGAAAGCTTCCCAGGGGATTCTGGTAGGTGGGCAGGTTTGGAACTCTGGCTTATATTGTAGTTACCTATAGACATAGGCATTTATATCTGTGTGTGTGTACACACTTTTATATATAAGGGGAGTATGTGGTGACTTCCTAGGGGAGTGGGATAAGGGGTGGCTCGAAGTGCTTTTCACCGTGTATCCTTTTCTGCTGTTTCAAATTTTTTACTAGGTGGGAATCTTCAAGGAAAAAAAATGGTATAGTCTATACCATTTTTCGAAGATGTAAATAGAATGGGGAAATAATAAAACACTATATGTTGTATTTTAGATATTAGATATATAAGGATATACTGGTATGGTAAAATGTCAGAAGGATCTCCCCTGGAATCTCTGAGTTACAGTATCACCAGTCACTTTCAACTTCCTTATTTATGCTTTTCTGAACTTGCAAAGAAAAAGGGTATTACCACTCAGATATTTGAATTACAATGCATACATTTGCTGAGCACTGGCTCAAGACATTGGGAAGCAGTTCTGAACAAGGAGGAGATGTACCTGCCATTGTGGAATTTGCAGTTAGATAAAGTAATTCTCTGTGTAAAGAAAAAACATTATGGTATCAGTGGGTGAGAAAGTGTGTAAGAATTTATTTTACTAATGAGGTTGACTGGGTTTCCTTTACAATAAGGAAGCTCAGTCACATTTGGTACTTAAATTCTTTAGGATTTGAGTTTAGTTTGTCAGTTGTTAATTGTATTGTGGGGCATGTGGCAGATTGCTGTGTTCTTTTATTTGCAAGGTTATTATGTCTTTACCGTAAGAGCAGGCTAAATAAAATTGCTTTATCTTCTGCAGCTTTTGAATTTGTGCGAGGCTGAAGATTCAGCTTTAACAAAGCTGCCCTGTTACAAAAGCCTTCCATCACTTGTGCCTTTGCGAATTGCAGCACTAAGTAAGTTCATATAAATCTGAAACAAGTTAACTGGGGACAAAAGTGAAAGGGGACAGTGGCCTTTTTTTGTTTATTTTTTTGGCTTTTTATGTTGTTTTTAAGGCAGGATAAAAAACTATATTTATCAAACTAGATAATGAGATGTCAAGGGGTTATATAGATTGTTAGGGTTTAAATTATTTTTTACTCTGTATTAAACTGGATTTTACTCTATAATAAACTCTTTATAGTTATCATATGAATCTAATATTCTGGTTTAAGAGAGCTGTCATACCATTCATATATTGCCATTTCCATCCAACTCAGTATATAGTAAGATATACAACATTCTTTATAGACTTTGTAATGATTCAGAAGCCACTTGAGAATCCTACTGTTTTTAGATTTTCATGAATGTTAGTTACCAGTGTTTAGCAAAGTGTTTAGCTAAGTTTAGGAAAATACAGTATATCAGTACTCACCCTTGTGCTTAGAAACAGTTATTTCCCCCTTTTTTGTAAATAAATATGCAATACAAGTTTTTTGGTTTTTTTAAAAACGTATGTTTTTATTGATTTCAGAGAGAGGAAAGGAGAGGGAGAGAGATAGAAACATCAATGATGGGAGAGAATCAGCGATCGGCTGCCTCCACGCCCCCTACTGGGATCGAGCCTGCAACTCGGGCATGTGTCTTGACTGGGAATCGAACCATGACCTGTTTCTTGGATCGATGCTCAACCACTGAGCCACACTGGCCGGGCCTAATACACGTTTTTTTTAGTTGACTTTGTCTCTTCATTTGTTGATATTTATACCCTTAGTAAAATATTGTAAGACTCCTTGAATTAGCAGTAGAGGAGCTGAGACACAGAGATCATAATACCTGAGCATGGGGCTGGGGTGTTCAAGACACAGTAATCCAGAGTGAGGGAGGTGCAGAGCAGGGATGTTTGCCAGCTTCTCACTTCTTCTGTGGGGTTTTTTCCTTTGGGGTGCCCCTCATACATTCCTATTAGCAAACATGGTCATTCCTCTTACTAGGATGTTCTCCTAACAAACATAGGATTGAGGTGTGTCTCTTTCCTCAAAATATTTGTATTTTCAAAGCCTTTAACCTCTCCAGTTGGGAGGAGGCTGATTAGATATGAGTAGTGGAGAGGAGCCTGGCTGTGTGTGTCTGTTCTTTCATCACCGGAGTTCAAGGCCATGCCCTCTGTATGAATTCAGTATGCAGTTACCTGCATGTCAGCCATGCTCACTGTATATGAAGATGTTGTGGGGGCAGCAGTGTCAGTGAGGACCCCGTTTGTTCCCTCTTCAGCCCTTTTCCCTCCTATCTGGACAGTGTAAGATTTGTCATGGCCTTCCTGGCAGGCTATTGACTTCACTCTTAGATAATGTGGGTAGGAGATCATGCGTTCTTTTGTCTTTCTCGAGGTCAGATACTAGGAAAGAGGTTTAGTCATGCATATTTTTTTTGTTGGTAAGAGCCTTTAGATTAAGAAATTGTTCCTGTATTTTTCAGGTTAATAATGAGATTGTATTGATTTCTCTTCCTAAAGATGCGCTTGCTGCCTGCAATTACCTTCCTCAGTCCAGAGAGAAGATCATTGCTGCACTCTTCAAAGCACTTAATTCCACAAATAGTGAGCTCCAGGAGGCTGGAGAAGCCTGTATGAGAAAGGTGAGAGGTGTGTGTGTGTGTGTGTGTGTGTATGTGAATTCTGCCTTAGGAGAATTCACACACATCTATTTACCTTGTCTGTGTGCCTGGAAATCTGCCTGTTAATATCCACTGGATTGTAATAATGTCTCTGCTGGCTCCATAGTCATACGGAACCTTTTAAAATAGTGAATAGTAATGGGTAGTCAATATATATGTTTTATATATATATGTGTGTGTGTGTGTGTGTGTGTATATATATATTTTTTTTTGCCAGTCTGACAAAACATAGGTTTAATTTTGATTCATTCACACTTGATTCATTTATTCATAATAGGATGGCTGTTGTCATTTGTTAAAATCTTTATTGTTGAAAGTATTACAGGTGTTCCCCTTCCTTTTTTCCCCCCCAATTGACCCCCTCCACCCTGCATCCACCACACCCCCAGGCCTTCCCCATACTATTGTCTGTGTCCATGGGTTATGCTTTTATGCATATAAGTACTTTGATTAATCTCTCTCCCCCACCCCCGCCTTCCGTCTGAGATTTCTCAATCTTTCTCATGCTTTGATGTCTCTGGGTCTATTTTATTCATCAGTTTATTTTGTTCATTATAGCCCAAACATGAGTGAGATTATGTGATACTTGTCTTTCTCTGACTGGCTTATTTTGCTTAGCATAATACTCTCCAGGTCCATCCATGCTGTCCCAAAGGGTAAGAGATCTTTTTTTTTTTTTTAACAGCTGCATAGTACTCCATGGTGTGAGTGTCCCACAGCTTTTTTATCCACTCATCTACTAATGGGCACTTGGACTATTTCCAGATCTTAGCTATTGTAAATTGTGCTGCTATGAACATAGGGATACATAAGTTCTTTCTGATTGGTGTTTTGGGTTTCTTAGATATATTCCTAGAAGTGGGATCACTGGGTCAAATGGCAGTTCCATTTTTAATTTTTTGAGGAAACTCCATACTGTTTTCCATAGTGGCTGCACAATCCTGTACTCCCACCAGCAGTTATTTTTAATATCTTATTTTCCCAAGGAATACAAAACTTGCTGCTAGAGTTACATATGAGTTCCATTCTGTTATGAAGTATAATCTGTTATCTGTTTTCATTTGTAACCTTTCTTTTAAAATAGTTTTTAGAAGGTGCTACCATAGAAGTAGATCAAATCCATACACATATGCGACCTTTGTTGATGATGCTGGGGGATTATCGAAGCTTGACGCTGAATGTTGTGAATCGTTTGACTTCGGTTACCAGGCTCTTCCCAAACTCCTTCAATGATAAATTTTGTGATCAGATGATGGTAAGGCAAATGCATGTAAACATACTCTGTAATAAACCTGGACATTTGAATTATTTTTTTAAATAAGTAATAATGTTGACATGGTTTAAAATTAAAAGGATATGGAATGGTATGCTGCGAAAAGTCTCCTTCCAGGAGACATCCAGTGTTAAGTGTCCTCTGTGTCCTAGAGGTTTTTACATCTGTAATAGGGCATGTGTATATTCTTTTGTTTCCTACAAAAGGAAGCATAATACATACACAAGTCTTGCTTTTCTTACCTACCGCCCCACCATTTCATATCAGAACATACAGTGCTTCTTCTTTCTGTATTATGAGGACATCGTCCTTGGTTATGGGGATATGCCCTCATTTACGTAACCATTCCCTCTCTGACGACTGTCTACATTGTTCCCAGTCATTTGCTACTGCAGACGATGATGCAGTGAAAAACTTGTAAGAACTTGAGAAGTCCTTTGGGTTTTTAGACTTATCAAGGAAATAATGATGCAAATAAAATCTGTTTGGCAATGTTTAAATTTGAAGTGTAAACAGATGAAGGAGATTCAGCTATTAACTTTCTTATGTGTTTGATTTTATTTCTGGTAAATAGACACTTAGAAAAAAATTTGTCAGCTTATGATTTCATGAAATGTTATTGCAAACATGCATGTATTTTTTATAAGTAGCCTTTGGCCATGTAGATATTTTAAGATACTGGAGGTGGATTGTTTTTGGTTTTGTTTTGCTTTGATATACCTTTCCCTCAACTGTAAACAGGAATGAGCAGATAGTTAGATTTAGATACAGATATAGTGTGTATGGAGTGTAGATATATGTGTATATGAAAACCACACAGGTTTTTACCTTACATACTAGTTTCTTTATAGACACCTAAAAGATGAACAACGACCCAGACATCTGACTGGGAACTGATAGTGTTATGATTAGCCCTAAAGATTGTGATAGTCTAATAGAAGAGTGTAATTGGGAAGCAGTATTATATGGAAGTGAATTTTCCAAATTGAAAAACTTCCATTTAAGATTCCAAATATATGTAATGCACATACATACCTACCGATTTATACCCATACATACACAAGTGTGGTTAAAGTAAGTGATTAATATCAGAGCACAAGTGTACATGTTATCTTACAGAATATTGCAACTATTGGTGCTTTCATAGATGAGATTTGTGCTTGCCTTCTCCATGTCCTAATGTTTTTATATTTGTCTCCTTTTTATGATTTGTCTCTTCCAACTCTTTCAGCTGGCATTTCTTGTAGTCTTTGCATGCCTGCCTGAAGCAACTTGTTGTTTTTTTTTGTTTTTCTTAACCACTAATCTAACCCTTCAGATCTGCTGTGAGCTGGGAATTCATTCAGATTCATTCAGTAAACGTTGTTATCCAGATCTTTTAATTTTTATTTTATTTTTAAAGTTTTATCTTTATTGTTGAAAGTATTACAGATGTCTCCCCCCATTGATCCCCTCCACCCCACATCTACCCCCCGACAGGCCTTCCCAATACTGTTATCTGTGTCCATGGATTATGCATATATGCATGTAAGGTCTTTGAGCAG